TATTTATTTATTCATTTATTTGTGGACGCAGTATATCTGCGCAATTCATAGTAAGACAGTGACAATCGACAAGTACATAAATTGAAATCAGACAATTCCCGTAAGTGTAAATGTAAGAATTTAGGATACCTCTGAAGTAACTACCCTGGTGGCCTTTATACGAAAAGCTCCAGGTGATAATTGGAAAATATCTTCACAAAAAATTTTGTTAAATAAGCGAAGCACTCTGATCGAGAAGAATTTAGACCTGACTTGGGTTCTTGATACAGGAGCCCTGATCTTGATAGTGCTCCCTCTAGTCCTAGAGGTGACTACAGTAAAGAATTCATCCGATTTGACCGTTGCTCTACCTGTTAGGATCTTGAAAGCCATCATGAGGTCATTGATCGATCTTCTATCAAGGAGACTAGGTAGGCCGTAAAGACGCCGTCTTTCTACTGCGCTTGGTAGAGAATCATAGCTCATTCCGGAACATCGTAGGCAAGTTTACGAGTAAAGCTATTCTGACACTTTCCAAGAGCTTAATATCCTTTTTTTATATGGCGAGAATACTGAAGTCCCATGTTCCACTACAGGTCTAACATAGGATTTATAGGCCTGCAGCAATACCTTGGGATTTTTCGAATTCAGTGCTTTGAAGAGAGTATAAATTCTGTTATTAGCCTTGGAAACCAGTGACTTATAATGTGTTATTTCGTTATTTCTGTTAATTATTTCCCAATAACTTGAAAAGGATATGTCTACAAGTTAATTCAAGTCTTCAAACAAACTGGAAATTGTGCTACGCCGGAGATGTGAATTTTTCGCGTCGTCAAAAATTTACAACGACAAAAAAAACAGTGCGGAATTTCTTCGAATAAGAGGTGTGAGAAAATATGGAGCGCTTCCAAGAATACAAGAGTCTCCTAGTTTTTGGCGCTATTTTTGTTCCTTGAGAGATGACACCTGCAGAAGGTTATTATTGTTCCAAGCAAGAAAACTCGTAGGGGACGCTTAAATGTCACAACGGCGTCAAAACTCTAAGTTCCATTCAAAAGGAAGTCTTTGGAGTTGCTCAAGCCTAATTAATAAACTATCAACCTTTTGCTTCACAAACCTATTTTCCTCTCTCCCGAATCTCCACTTTCAAGAAAGTTCGGAATATTTCTGGCCTATTTAGCGACCCACGTCACGAAATAGCTCGTTTTAGAGCAACAGTGAAAAAGCGTTCTGAATGTTGTTGCAATCTCTGAAATGTCCGCGGACAATTGAATCAAGCATTGTACTGTCAATCATCTATTTTTCAGTCTTATTTGAGAAAGCGGTCGCAGCGAGACTGACTTTCGACGGGGAGATCGTACTCATCAGAGATTTAGTAGGGTGATTCGCAGGCATACGTGAGAACTAAGAGTCTTCACAGTGATTAAAGGCACATTCCGCGATAAAATAAGGCTATGACCTCTCAAATGTGTCGGACGATCCGGAAGGCGATTTTTGAGGCTGCGCTACTTTCAAAATGTGAAAAACGGCAAGAACTCCGCTAGAAGCTGACTAATTAGGCCCATGGACACCCCTTAGGCCCATGCCGACCCTCACCGGCTGCTAGCTACTAGCTAGTAGCCACTATGTTATCTTTCTCTATAACATTTCGGACTGCTTTTTCTGCTGCTTTTCTCCGCTAATCAGATACTTAGCACTTTTTTGTGCCTATTTGAGTTCCGTTTCCCGCAATTTGCGGTCGCGAACTGTGCCTTTAAGGTAAAACGGTATCTAGGTTTTTTCTTGAAAGGCGGACCTCGCGTTACAATCAAGGGCCTCGAGAGGTCGTTAAGTGGGTACGCGCAGGGATATTTCGTTTTATTCAGATCCCGCAAGAACTAGTCAAGACCTCGCTCAACGACCTAACTAAGTCGTAACTGTAGTGACAACTGCGAAGACGTTTTTGTCAAGGACGAGCCATGAACGAGTTGTTGTATTGATGTGCGATTCCGTCCTTCTGTAGATGGGATGCCACTTGCGTTGGAAGCGCGCTAGATTCGGGCTTAGCAACTTGTAGTTGATCAATCGAGATGAAGGCGTCCTTGTATTTCTACCATCGCCGCCTTAGTAGGATATACTCATTACTGAGGGAGTCTAATTATAAATTCTTAATTGCAAGGCTACGGCTGCAAAAAACAAACAACCTGCACGAGACAGCTTCGTTATCTCGTAATGTAACAGCGACGTATGTACGTATGTTCGTACTTGGGGGGGGGGGGTAGGGAGGAGGGGTTGCACCTGACGTCCAGAAAAATTTTTTGCAGCCCCAGATGAAATGTTTGATCTTTACACTTTCACACACTGTACCCCCTCGCTAACCCACGACCATCGTTGACTGCGCGGTGAAACTACTACGCAACCACCAGTTAAAGTAGTACGCTCCGATACTTGACTTGAGAGGAAGTAATCACCTGCTCGACACCGATTTTTTTGAGGAAAAAACGAGTGAAATTTCTCGAAAAACTTTGGCAGATGTTATACGAGTGGGGTGCGGCAGTAGATGTGTTGTGAGAAGGAGCCTGTACCTTTGGAAATTCTTTAAAGGGTCGTACTAGATGCGTTGGGGAGAGGGCGTACTGGAAAGGTCATTTAAGTCACAGTGCCGTACACTGATCACTCCTTTGTAGAATACGCCACGCATTCCTTTCTCAGGGTTGTAATCCTCTAGATTACTTCACTCAGCTTATCGCATTTTGCTTCGTCGGGTTCCTCGATGGGTCAGGTCTGGGCGACTGGAATTAGGGGCATCTGCTATAACAACTAGGTGATCAAGCGCAAGTGACATGTCTCCCGGGTTAACAGCACAGGCCCAATGCCCATTATGTCTGAGAGGTAGGTCCCCGCCCCCCTTGAGAATCTAGG